TGAATGCCGTAGAAGTCCAGATGTCCGTCAGCATCGCACTGCTTCGCCCAGTCAGCGAACAGCTTATTGACGCGCTTGCTCTTGCTGCGTGGCACGATGCCAGCGCCGACAGCGTGGGTGACGATGTTGTGGATCGCGTTGGCGGCATACGGATTGTTGCGGACCAAGTCGCGCATGTTGTCGCGTAGATTGCCGCCAGCCTTGCTGATTTCAGCATCGGCCGACGAACCGCGAGAATAGAACGGGTCTCGATGTCGGCTCTTGGTCGCAGCGTCATAGCTACGCGCCGAAATCTCCATCGCCGCCCTGTCGCGCAGGCGTTTTGCGCCCGCGGCTGGTGCGACCCAGCCGATGGCCCTGTCCAGAATGTTTGGCTTCATTAGCGGCCCATCCTGAACCCGGCGAACGTCATGCTCGGCCGGCGGTTCTGCTGCGCCGACAACCGGTCAATTGCGTCCAGCATGGCCTTCAGCGATTCATACTCCACCTCTCGGCGAGTACCGCCGGATGTGAACACGATGCGTTTGGCACCGGTCGCAATTGCCTCGCGAAGGGCAGCAATCTGTTCGCTGTTATCAACAGCCATGCGCAGCCCTTTCTAAAGCCAGGTTGACGCCGCCTTGCGCGGCTTGCGGGGGGTGTTGTCGTTGGCTGCAGTCGCGACGACGTGGCCTGTCGAAAGCTGCTCGCGGCGCAATTGCCAATTGATCGGCACAAGCTCTTTGACCGCCGTGGCATAGACCACGCAATCGAGCGCCTCGTTGCGGCGCCCAGGTACGGGTAGCCACTTCCTCACCGGCCTGCCGCGATCCATCTTGATCACGGCCTGCTCACCGGTGAACTGCTCGTACCAGACCTCGGGCAGGTCTTTCGAAAACCGAAAGACCTTGCCGTGCTGAAGGCGGTTGAAGATCGTGTCCTTGATGGGATCAACGCCGACGATCCAGAGCGGATCTTTCTTCTGCGCCTTGGAGCGCAGAATGAACGGCCGCCTGCCGCCGTCGCCCTTGATGGCAAATACCTTGCGGCGCAGCCTGGGTCGGACGAAATCATAGACGTGCGGCATATGACTGCCGCTCGAGCTATCGATTGCCACAGCGTCAATGCCGATTTCGCCGCCGAGTGGGTGGCGCCAGCGCTGTTTGATCAGCGCATCGATGTCGACCCAGAACTCGTTGGTTTCGTAGGAGCCATAGACCACATCGTGATCGAGAATTAGCTGCTGGCCACTCTCGGTCCAGCCGACGTACGACACCTCGCCGCGATCGTCCTGCATGTCGATGCCGGCCGTTATGGCAAGCACGTCTTCAGGGAACGGCCAAGGCTGGCCCACGCCGTCGCTATCGACCGCGCCCAAACCGAAAGGCTCCGCGCTCCGTTGCAGCTCCAGGTCATCGATCCGATCGCCCGCGGTTCGCCACGCCTCACCGAGGATGGTGTTGACGAATGGCTTCAGCAGGTGCGGGTCGTGCTTCGTCGCCAGAAACTCCTCTGCCAAAATGCCCCAATCGGCATTCGGCAGTGGGCTCGACAGTGAGTTGATCCTGAAGCCGGCGTGACCTTTCACCTCCGGCTTGGTAATGCGCCAGCGGCCGCGTGCCACCATCGTCGACTTCTGCTTGTGCTCGATGGCACAACCGCAGGACGGGCAACCCCAATAAGCCTTCTCCGGCTCACCTTCCGGCCAGTGAATGTCCTTCCACATTATCTCGTGGAATTCACCGCACTCCGGGCAAGGCACTTCGAAAACTCGCTGATCCGACTTCGCGTATTCCGCGACGACGTAGCTCGTTTCCTCTTCATCCGGCGTCGAGCCGACCACGATCTTGTAGTCAGCAAACTGCGCCGTGCGTCGGCGGGCCAGCGGGATCGGGTGGCCTTCGGTGGTCGGCTTCATGCCGTCCACTTCGTCCATGATCACTACCCGCGCATTGTGCGCGCGGAAGTTACGCGGCGTTTCAGCCGACAAAATCTTGAGCGTGCCGCCAGTGAACTGGCGCATCAGCATCGTAGTGCGATCCTTCGCACCAGTGCGGGACTTGTCGCCGGACAGCACGCCTTTCAGCGCCGGCGAATCCTCGAACGTGGGCTCAAGGTCCGAAGTCACAAACGACTTCGCCATGTCCTCGTTGGGCAGGTAGACCAGGATCAACGACGGGTCGTTGACCACGAAGTTGGCAACGGCACCATTGAGCACCGTGGTGTAGCCGATACGCGCCGACTTGATGACCGAGACTTGCGAATAGGTCGGATCACCGATCGCGTCGGCGATTCCTTTTTGCGGCGGGTAGAGCCTGATCTTCCCTGGCACTGCCGACACGGTCGCCGGCAGTCGAATTTCCTTTTCCATCCATTCGGACAGATTGATTTTCGGAGGCGGGCGAAGTGTCGCCATCACCTTCTTCAAGGTCGCCGAAGTCTGCGTCATAAATGTCGACTCCGTCCGCGAGTTTGGTCATCGCGTCGCGGATTTCCTCGTCAAGAACAACGGCATCCTCCGTCGACAGCGACACGCGCTGCCTTACCCTCGACACCACAGCCAGGAGGCCGCTGCGTATGCTGGAAATCTGCTCGGACCAGACGCGCGACACTTCCTCGATCGGCAACAACTCCTTACGGAGCTTGGCGTTTTTGATCTCTTGCGTGTCGGCCTGCTCTTTCTTCAGGCGCGCTTCCTCGCGCTCCTTGTCGATGGTCGCTTCCTTGTCCTTGCCCTTGTTGGACACGTGCAGGACGTAGGCCTGAACGCTGGCTGGGCCGTCGAACACGCCGTGGGACTTGCGGACCGTGATGCCCTCCTCGGCTAGCTGGTTCACGCGTCGCGTGGTGAGGCCAAGCAGGCCTCCAAGCTGTGCCGTGGTGAGGTTCATTCCGAATTCCATTGGGAAGGAAATGGCCTAGCGAAAATCTTGCAGAGCGCGAGAAGTCGGGCCCTCCGACCCGCAAGGAGCCGGGGGTGGTCGAAAGATCGTTTGCCGAGGGGGGGTGCTACGCGGCTTGAGCAACGGAGGTGTCGTTGTCGTTAGACGCAACGCCGCCATCCCACCTTGCGCCTTTCTTCATATTGTCCTCAGCCCATAACGGCTGAAGATTGGACAGCGACCAGCACTGCCGAATGCTCTCATCGCTCTCAAGGTCAAACGACGACACCGGCCGAACGTGATCGATATGAATACTGCCCTCAAAGAACGCCGGCCAACTCATGTCTGGCGTGAACAGACGCTCCAAATGCTGTGCCAAATCCTTCACGGTATAACCCAACAGAGCTTCAGCGGCCGATGCGTCTGCACTGTATTTCAATGCCCGCCTTAGCGCACTGGCAACAAAGAACTCTTTGCCGCGACGCTTCTTCCGAAATTGCGCCTTCAGCAATTGTCGGAGACGAAACTCCTGATCATTGGCATACCGAATGCGGTATGCGTCGGCCTTGCTAACACCGTCAGCCAACCATGGCTTTCTCGACCGCGCCAGTGCCTGTTGGCGCTCACGGTGGCGACGATCAATCCGAGCGTATGCCGCCTTTCGGCGTCGGCGCTTGAGCAACTTCAGGTCGTATGCGGCCTGCCTAGTGCCATCACTGGAGCGCTTAGCGTCTCTCGATGCGTATTCGGCGGTGCGGTCTTCAGTTTTGCGGCGTTCTGCCTTCTCGGCATTGTTGCATGAGATGCACCGGCGACCGTAGATGCCCTTCGAAAATCGATAACTGTCGAGGGGCAAGTCCCTTTCGCAAGTCAAACAACGACGGAATCCAGGCGCCACCTCCACTATCGGAGGTATGCTGTTTTTCCATCGTTTCGCCTCCAGTGCCCGCCTGTTGGCGGTCTTGCACTCATCGCAAACGCGCGGCTTCTTTAGTGAAAGGCGATGTGATGCCGCTCCACACTTGGAGCAGTCGAAAGAGAATACCTGCATACAACCCCTCGGCCGAGACAAGAGAGTGCGAGCCAGTAGCTCGCGTCTTTTCTCTTGGTGATGGCGATGGTGCGGGTAAAATTCCCCGACAAATTAGTTCACGTCACCGCGCCCTTGGTCAGGCGCTTGATCTCGTCGTGGATCGCTGGCGCGAGAGCCCTCGCATTGCGTTCGTACGCCTGCTTCATGTCCCCTTGGATCATCTCCTCGGGAATGCGCACGTCCGACCTCAACTTGGTGATCTTGCGCCCGCCCACGTTCTTAAACACGTGTCCGCCCAGGGCCCCGAACAGGAAGCGCCTGTTTGGAAATTGGCCGGCGTGCATGAAGGCTTTGGCGAGAAAAACGCGATTGCTTCTCGGCAGCGCCGTGGTGCCACGCCGAAGCTCTCGGGCCTTGAAATACTTGTAGCTGATGTAGCCGCCGCGCGTGGCGATCAGATACCGAAGGTTTGCGCCAGAAGCACGCACTGGCTTGCCCAATGCACGCTGGATAGTGCGCGTTGGCAGACCAACTTGCTTCGGCAAGATGCGAACCGCGTCCTTGCGGAGCAGCGCACCTTGCCGGTTGATCACCTTGCGATATGCCGCGCGTGCCTTCGCCTCGCTGCCCAGCGCCTCAACGGCCGCTTCGAAACGAGCCAAGCCGTCGCCGGTAATTCTGACAGAAATTGTCATCGGCGAAGCTCATGGGCTGGTGGGTGGGCTAGCGCGTGACGCGCTCAGGCGTAGGCGGCCGAACGAACGGAACGACGTTGTCGACTTCCGCAAACACCGCGTTAGCAAGCGGCACGACAAACACAGCAGCCATGCCGTCCGGTGTCTGCTGAATGCCGCTGAACTTGGCGGCGCTTGCCGGATTACCGTTCACGAACAGGGTCACGTCACCGGTATGACTGCGCTTGAGATGGATGGTCATGGTCGGCTCCTCAACCGAAAATCGAACCGAGACTGTGCGGGCTCGCACGCTGCAATAGGTCACGCGCCCACGCCTTGGTGCCGGGACTGGCGGCATCGGTGCGCAGGACTGTCGTGCAAAGCTGAATGACGGACTGGATCATGCGATCTCCTCGTGCATGGTGGGAATGGCGCAGGACCGGGGAATTGAACCCCGTCAGACCCGGTTTTGGAGACCGGCGCTCTACCGATGAGCTAGACGAGTCCTACTCAGAACCAACCCGATGGACTCTATTTTGAAATTGGGATCTTCTCGCCTTTGAGGATCAGGGGGGGCTTTCCGTGAGATTGGGACTTATTGCTTGTGGCGTGGCTCTGATGCTGGGTGGCTTTAGTGCGACTGCTGCCGAGCCTAAGCGGGACATTCAGGGCGTTGCACTTGGACTTCCGCTTGTCCCGACAGCCAAAAGTTTAATGCAGCGCGGGTTCAGATGCGGCGGGGGCGATGAACAGATCGAATGCGTAACCAACCCCGACTTCATCAAGACGCCCGATGACACCTACTTCCTGCTATCGGCGGCATATGATGGCCGCATCGGTGCCGTAGAGAACTGGTTCTGCTCGACTGCAACACCAGAGGAATTCTACAATTTGGTGGTGGAACAGTTTGATTTGCAGAAAGTCGACACCTTCGCCGAAGGGCAGTCTTGGCAATCCGAAGTTGGCGACAACTTGATCGTAGACTTCTTTGCAGAACAGCGCCCGGATAAACTAAACTGCTTTACGGTTAAATTGTCTGATCCAGTAATACTTTGGGCGACTCCTCAGACTGAAGCGAAACCTTTGCCAAAGTTATAGTGGGACAGCGGGTGCCCTCAACGAGGGCGAAGGACGCCGAAAACTGAAACCGGGCCTCAACCGTGCAGCCGCAAGCAGCGCACAGGAGGCCCGGCAGATCACCTGCTGCCGGAGGAGACGGCGCGGGCGATGGGGATTGCGCAACACCAGGGCCTCGGCCACCACGAAGGCGGGGTCGGCGAGCTGGCATCGGTTGCGCAATTTCTGGATAGTTACCCGGTCATTCAGCGGTGGCGCCTTGGCTGCAAGGCCGGTCTCGCCACATAACGCCGGGTCCGCCGCAGCGGAATAGTGCGGCGAGAGCGCGTTGCGCTCTGCCTTCACTATATAAGCCGACGAGATCGCCGAATTTAAACATCAGGCGCGGCGCTTGCTCATTGCGGCCAGAAAATTGTCGTTTGCCGCCACCAGTGCGCGTTTCCCGCCGCCTCGGTACTTGGCGTAGTTCTCGGATTGCCCCACTGCCACGCCGATATCCGCGAAGGTCCGTGCTGTCATTGCCGCGTCCAGCGCCGCTCGGTCCTTTGGCTCTATCGCCTGTTCAGCGGCGACCCAATCATCATGCTCACGACCAGCGGTGTACAAATCGACCCACTGGATTAGGCCGCCCTTCCCGGTCGAGCCAATCTTCATACCGATGAAGCAATCCGAAGCCTGTTGCGTGCCGTTGGCAAGGCCTGGTGGACAGATAGTCACCGTCGGCATCACGGCTGTGTTGGCGATAGCTTCGGACAGCATCGCTTGGCTTTCCGAAGCCTTGTAGGATTTGCCGCGGCGCTTTCTACCGCCGGGAACGTAGGGCTTGTGGATCACGCCCATTGCCTCGGCCAGCGCGATATTGCTGACCAACACCTTGGCTGGGGCGTTGCCACCACCGGAGCTATCGGTCAGGCGCTCTTCGGTGCCGAGCATGGCACCGGTGGGCATGCGACGATCGTACTGAACCACATCGCCGTCTGGCCCGATGGTGAAGGCCTTTTCGGTCTGCGTGCCGTCGCTAAACTTGAGACGGCCAATGGCGATGACCTGGCCATCCTTGTTGCGGTCGACGGGACCGTGCATTTCCCGGCGGATCTGTTCGACGGACGGAGTGACACGCAGGTTCTGCTCGGTGAACATTGTGGCGCGCACTTCCGGCTCGATTGCTACAATGACCGGATCGGTGACGAAGTTGGAGACGATTGGCTCGGGCGGATGGTCGGGGCGGTTGCGCTTGGCGATGAGCGCGCTGAGCTGGTCGGCGAGTGTGCGGGCGGTCATGCTGTTACCTGAAAAGGTGACGCGGAGTGAAGGGCGGCAAGTTCGGCGCGTAACGCGTCTCGCTGTTCCAGCAAATGTTTGATCACCAAGTCATCCCAAGCCGCCGGTAGGAACTCTTGTGCCTGGTCTTCATGAACCCAGCGGCACTCGCCATTGGAAAGGCGAAACATGTGCTTGGCTTCTTCAAGGCTGTAACGGCCGGCATGGTCACGGATACCGGTGTAGCCCTGATGGTTCGGCCGCTCATAAAGGCCGCGCTTCATGATGAGGTAGTGCGCGCCATCCTCAGTTTCGCTCATATCTTTCCCCTCTGTGGTGTGGTGCAGCAGGTTGGTGGCCTGCACTGCGGTGGTGAGCCGCGATTTTCTCTTGTGTGCGCCGCGCCCGCTGGTCAAGCAGCGGCGATCCATCCCCTGACGAGCGCCTCAGCCTGATCCGCTGCTTCAGCTTCCGTCGCAGCTTTTACGACCACGACCACATGCCCCAGCGCCGTCAGTGCTGCATGCCTGGCTTTCTGCTCGGGGCTCAGTCGTCCCTTGAGTGTTTTGTTTTCAATCAAGCCTAGGCGGCCGCCGGCTAGATACACACGCAGGTCGGGCTCGCCGGGGGTCATCCCTGTGGCTTGTGCTTCGACTGCTGCCCTTGGTCCGCGGCGGGCCGCGTTCTGGTCGCCGGCAATCAGGAACTGCCGTCCGTGCTCCGGCATGTTGCGCAAGCGGCGCACCTGGGCAGCCTGCAATCGCCACTCAGGCACATTGTCATTCGAGGCCTGCATGACAACGCGGGTGCCGTTGGCGAGGCGTCGGGTCATGGTGCGCATCGAATTTGCTCCTGGTTGCCTTCCTTTTGGGCACGACGCCCAAACCGGTCAAATTGACCTCTTGTCCGATGGATTTGCACGATGACTATTTTGACCCATCGTGCACCAGCACGATCGTGCCCAATGCCTATATAGGCCATTGGGCATCGTGCAGTTCGTGGTTGCACAGTGAGATGGGCAAAGTGCACGATGAAAATAATAGTTCATCGTGCAGTTAAGTATTGGGGCAAAGCGTGGATTTGGATGAGGCGATTGGTCTGAGTTTAAAACTCCTGAAGGATGGAAAGCTGGCGAAGTATGGGTACGATTTCTACCCCCCCGCCGCCGCCGAATACGAGATTTATACCCGACAGCAAATTCGCGGAAGCGAAGGGCAGGCCATGGTTGTTGACCTGTCGGTGCTCTTCCTCGACGCCGCGTGGATCATCTGTCAGCGAGGATTTGTGCGACCAGGCACGAGACACATGCAGGGACAGCCCGTTGATGCTGGTGGCTACTCGCTAACGCAGCAAGGGCGGAAACTGCTCGACCAGTTAGACGATGCTGCACTGGTGATCATGCAACCTGGAGCATTGGCAAAGGCACTCTCAGACTACGAAGCGAAATTTGGGTCAGGTTTCGTACAGAGGTCTCAGGAGGCGATACGCTGTCGGGATGCATCGGCATGGCTCGGATGCTGCAGTATGGTCGGCGCAGCGGCCGAGTCTGTTCTGTTGGCGGTTGCCATAGCGAAGGTGGGCAATGAGACGGCCGTCCTGAACGAATATCAGTCTTCCAGCGGAAGGCGGAAGGTGCTCAACATGATTGTTGGACAGAAGCCGCAGCACATCCGCGATCAATTGGTTTTGTTCACCAACATCATATCGATGTGGCGTGACGAGGCTTCACACGGCAAAAGCACCCCGATCGACACTGCCAATGCCGACGAGGCGCTCCGCCAACTCTTACATATGTGTCAGTGGGTCGACCGAGAATGGACGACGCTCACATCATGAGCCTTGCCAATACTTCGACCGCACAAGGTCCACGACCTCGCGCCTGATGGGGTCATGTTGTTTCGATTTGACCAGGTGGCCCTCTAAAATCAGCGCCTTCAGAATGCCCGCCAGACGCTTGCGGTTGTCTGGTTCGTCCGCGTCGATGGACATGGCAAGGGCGACGGCATGGCCAGCCCAGTTCTTGGCGCGGTTGCCTTCCTTGTAGTCGGAGTTGTCGACCAGCGTTTGGATGTGCTGGATTTGCTCCGGCGTGATCGTGGCGACGACCTCTTCACTGCCCGGCCACTGCCATTCCGCAACGACGCCGGCAAAGTCCTGCGGCGCCCCAAATCCCTGACCGTTGCCTAATGGAACCGATACCAAATGGCGCCACTCCAAATGGCTAGACATGGGCGCCAAGTTGGCCTTGCCGTGGGACACTGAGAAGTACCCAAAGCGCTCACCGACGGGCACACCTGCTTCGCTCGCCTGCTCCGGTGTCATCCGGTTCAGCACGCGCGCAGATCGGGCTGCAGCAAGAAGCGAGACTGCACCGCGTGCATCTTCGACGGTGACGTCGCGGCCTTCGGACTTGCGGACGTGGTGCACCAACTCGATTGCGCAGTTGGTCTCGTCCGCGATCTTTGCCCAAAGCTTGGCGACCTTATCGATCGCACCGTTGTCGTTTTCGCTGACACCATGGGTTGATACGAACGGGTCCACGATCATCACGTCGATTTCGTTGCGACGGATCTGGTCCTTCACCGCTTCCACCACGGGGTGGGCGACTTTAACCCCGCGCTTGTCGTCGAACGCTACGACGAGATCTTGCTCTCGGCCGCTATCAAGGAACAGGCCGCGCATGTCTTTCGGCTTGAGCCGATAGTGCATCGCAGCCGCCATAATGCGGCGCTCCATTTCGTCGCGAGGATCCTCGGCGTTGAACAGCCAGACTTTCAGCGGACGCGACGGCTTAGTGCCGAGCAGCTGCTTGCCGGTCACCATTGCTAACGCCTCGGCGATCGTCAGGCTTGTCTTGCCGAGCCCGCCAGGTGAGACGGTCACCGAGACATATTTCCTGATCAAATGCGTGCCATAAACGAAGTCGCGCCGCGGGAGCATTTGCGGGTCGATCCACGAGAATGGAGTGGCGACGATTGGCGAGACGGGTTGCTTGGTTACCTGACGGGCAGCAGATAGATGCGCGGGAGGAAGCCACTGCGACAAATCCTCTTCCGGCTGGCTCTCGCGCTCTGGGATCTGCCGCGGATTGGATTCGCCGCTGTCCAATCCCGAGGAGATGGTAGCACGAGCTGAGTGCTCCCCGTCCTTGGAGACATAGCCGTTGGC